TGCTGTGTGTGCTTCTTTAATATCGATTCCTCTGATTTTATAGCAAGACTGTTTTGTTACTTTTTATAGGTTTAGGCATTGAAATTGTACCTTCCGCTGATGACCTGAGAATGTGTCACGTGGTGTTAAACATCCCCTGAACCTCACAAAGTCAGAGGGCTGTAAAGCGAAGGCGTCTGTGGAGGTCGTAGTAAACCTTCTTGAGCTCTGTTGAGGTCCCTCCTGCTTTAGCGCCTGTTAAATTCAAGCTCCCAAGGCTTCTCAGGCTGTTGTGATGAAGGTCCTTTCTTTGAGCTGTACCTGAGGGCCCCATCCTGGAAGGGAGCCTGTTGCGTTTACAACGTATGTATCCGCCCAGGTCCAGGGGATGGCTAAGCCACTGATGGGAAAATTCCATTCCCTTGCAGTTCTATTTTTCCATGGACATCTTGAAACACCCTCAGATATGCTTCCCAAACGGTCAGCATGGGGGGTTTTCATCAGATTTTCAAGGGACCGATGACATTCTCAAAATGATTAAGAACTGTTGTAGCTTCTGGGGCATAATCTTTTTAAAAAGCTTCTGTTCATAAGGAGGTTCGAAGCTCCCCTCTGCCTCGGACAAACCGGATGTCTGGTGGTTAGGAGCTCAGTTCCTGCACTCCATCCCCTTCTAGCTTAATGACTGTGGTAAGTCATGGTGCCTGGTTTCATACGTAGTGCGGCTAGTAGGCTCAAATTAGAAAATGCCTGTAATGTATTCAGCAAATGCTCATTTGTCAGCTATGCTGGATGAAGATAATGATAAAAAGTAATAGCTACCTGTGTGGCTTGAGGTGATTACAGCATTTCCTTTTTATATTTTATTTATTCACAGAACATGCTCTTTATCCGTTCTACCTCATTGAGCTATTTAATAACAAAAGAAACTAATGAGTACTGTTCGTTTCTATGTATTCAAGTGCTGTGCAAATTCAAGGTGCTATATAATGAAAACACTGGCAAATATTTGAAAGTGGACTCGTTTGCTATCTAAGTATGACTCTAAGCAGGTTTATTTGTACTTTAGTCCTATAGTACATGGTAAATTCACAGGGGTACTGTGAAATTCAGGTTGGGAAGGAGCATCATTTTAAAGGACAGATGTGTTTTAAATGATCCCTTGTAGCGTATTTAGTGAAGTGATTTTAAATTCTGTGTGAGCCAATGTTTTTATATTTCTTATAAAAGAAAGTATGTTTTACATCTTGTGTGACTTGAAGAACCGTTAACTGAATTTCTTTCTCTTTTTTAGCAATCTAATTCTCAGATGGATTTACATATTCCAGCCATTGATGATGATATCAATGAAATCATTCAAATCGATGGAACTGGAGATACATCTTCCAGTGAAGAAGTGGGAAGTACAAGAGATGTCGATGAGGCTGACTTTCCAGGGACTGCTGATGGGGAAGATCT